TGGCCATTCCCTCCTGGGGGGTGGTGATTTCTTGCTTTCTGTCTCCCTGTCTCTCTCTGTCTTTTTGCTGAGCGCACACGCTTCACCAAAAATCTCTCCAAAAAAAAAAAAAGAAAGAAAAAGAAAGAAAAGTGACTTGAACCATGCTCAGCACAGACTTCGAATTCATTGTGAAATTTCACCTCGATGGATGCCTTCCGTCCAGGGAAGACATTCACCCAGTTCATGATTAGCATTGAGACATGGGAGGGACAGAACAGCTGCTGAGCCTTCCCTCCAGGACTTGCTGGGGACCACGCCAGGAGTGGCTTTTTCCTGTCCCTCAGCGCCTGATTCCTCGGTCGAGGTGGGGGAGCCGTTGTGTGCATTTGGCTCTTGCAAAGCTGCATCACGCCATCCCTGACGCGGTTCTGTTCTCAGCTGCTTCCCAGTTCAGGCCTGCGTTGTCCGACTGCGTAGCACGGGGAGGATGATAACGGGGCTCCATGGAGACATTCAGGGCACGTGTCTGAGCTGTCACCATCTCTCCCCAGGCTTTTCCAGCTCAGCACGTTTCATGAGGCTTTTAGGCTTGAAACGGTGTGGTGTGGACACTTAGGTGGATGGTAACACAGAAGCAGAGGGAGGGGGATTTCAAAGAAATCATTTTCAAGAGAAGAGAAAAAAGGATTGCTCCTTCTCACAGATGGCACAAGGCATAAGCTAAGAGCTGTTCGGGTTACTTCATTTTGTTTTATTTTAGTTCTTAGTGACCTGTTGCTTTCTTTCTTTTCTTTTTTTGGGAGAACTTTTTGCTATAGGGCGCGTGCACTTGCCAGAAAGACAGAGACAGACAGAGAGACAGAAAGTGAGAAATCACCCCCCCCCAGGGGGGATGGCCATGCTGCAATCCCTTCTCCTCCATTCTCCTCTCGGGATCTTGGGCACGCATGCACACGCACCCGGCATGAGTTTTAAGCCACCAGGTCTGGGACTCAAACCACAGTTGACTACATGGGAGTCCAGCGACATAGCCATTACACCAACTGCTGGTCCTGCTTTCTTAGTTTTTGAAACCACTAATGTGTTTCCCTTAAGACTTAGGTCATTTTGGAAGTAAGAAGCCAGGGCTTGATGGCCTAAACCACTTATTTCCGACGTGGGCGAGTACATCTTCCTGTCTCTTGCAGGTGTAATCCTATCTCTTTGGGAATGTTTTGCTCTGAGCAGTGAGGCTGTTCTGTTACCGACCGATGGGGCCAGAACAAGGACTGGCCGGGAGCTATGGTGTGAGAGGCGGTTTCTGTCCAGGACACCTGCTGCCCGAGTACAGAGCAGCCATTGTTCCTCTGATAGTCCATGTTCTGGGCAGGGCCACGTGCTTTCTAGCTAGGGCTGCATCTTCACTCTTTTCCCTGCGTGTATTTCAATTCTGGAACGAATTTCTGTCTTGTTCTTCTGGTTTGGCTGGTGTGACTTTGACACGTACTTGTGATCTGTACAGACATTGTCCCCATCCATGCCTGCCGAGAGGTCATAGTGGCAGGAGAGCACTGGTCAAGGTGGGGGCCGGAGAGCTGGCCTCACTCCTGCCCCACTGGCTGTGTGGCTGAGGAGCACACAGTTCCACTGTCTGGGCATGGGCTTCTTGGAGTGGACAGTCGCAAGGCCCCCAGTGTTAGGGTTTCATTGCTGCGATTTGTGGGTTTAGGGACGCTCAGAGCCTCAGAATAGGAGCATGGCAGAGGCTACTACACTCCTGTGAGCTGAGTGACGTCAAGAGGTCCTTTGAAGTGACAGTTGTATGGTGTGGCCAGTGATGAGGTTTGGATGAGATAGTTGGGGGGGCAGGGGAGAGTAACTATGGTCTTTTTGTGGCAAGTTTGCAGAGGAAAAGGGAACAATTTCTTTTTCTGGGAAAGTGCTATTATTCGACCCTGGAGGTATTGCTGCAACTTTTACATTTTTCTAATGGCTTCTTTCTTTTTTTTGGAGAGGTTTTCGCTATAGGGCGCGTGCACTCGCCAGAAAGACAGAGAGAGACAGAGAGACAGAAAGCGAGAAATCACCCCCCAGAGGGGATGGTCACGCCGCAATCCCTTCTCCTCCACTCTCCTCTTGGGATCTTGGGCACGCACGCACACGCGCCCAGCGTGAGTTTTAAGCCACCGGGTCCGGGATGTGAACCACAGTCGACTACGTGGGAATCCAGTGACATAGCCATTACGCTAACTGCTGGTTCCCTAATGGTTTTTTTCTTTTGAGAGAGAGAGGAGAGAGAGACCTTCAACAGAGTTCCTTGCCACGATCTTCTCCCCAGCCTCTCAGCCAGCTAGGATCCCCCCATGTGCTGGTGCGTACAGCTCCACTGAGACCCAAACCTTCCTGTCCCATGTGTCTTCCAACATCACAGAAGACTGTTATGCTGCCCTACCGGGGCTGGGCCTTGAACCTGTAAACTCAAGAAGTAGTACTGAGTTCAGATAAATGGACACGCCTTAATCTGTTAGCTCTTATTGTTTAGGTAGAAGGCACCATACAGATTTGGCTAATACAGCAGAGAGGTACCATTTCTTTTCAAAAACAGTTTCTTTCTCACTGTTATTTTCTTTCTTTATGGCAGAGTACATGTGTGTGCACGTGACAGTGAGAGAGAGGGGAGCACCCGCCCCGGGGTCTGGTCCCACTGTGGTCTCCTTTCTCCAGTCCTCCAGGCCGTCGGATCGTGGGTACCCCCATGTACCCAGCGTGTTTCTGGCTGGTCATGCAGAGGATTCGAACTGTGGCCGCCACGTGGGATCTGACCTCTCTTGAGCAGCCCATTGCTGCAGTGCCACGGAGCTGGCCCCAGGTGTCTCATTTCCCATTTCTACTCCCTTCTTCAAACCAACCAACTTTGTTTAAAAATATTCTAATTTTACAAGTAATACCAGAAAGGAGATACATATAACATCTTTTTGGAGAGGTTTTTGCTATAGGGTGCATGTGCTCACCAGAGAAAGAAGAGACAAAGAGACAGAAAGCGAGAAATCACCTCCCAGGGAGGATGGCCATGCCGCAATCCCTTCTTCTCCATTCTCCTCTCGGGATCTTGGGCACGCACGCACACGCGCCTGGCGTGAGTTTAAGCCACTGGGTCCGGGACTTGAACTGCAGTTGACTACATGGGAGTCCAGCAACATAGCCGTGACGCCAACTGCTAGTCCTGAGGAAATACAAATAGCTTCTAATTCTATACCCTAGAAATACTGTTATTTGTATGCTGCCGTCTTTGTGTTGCGTGGACTCGGTTTGTAGGCAAAGCAGGAATGTCCCGTACACACGTCCGTTGGTATCTGTCCTTCTTCCTGCCGTGCTCCTTCTGAGAGGCCTTCTTGGGAATGAGGTTTCAAGGGAAGGTAGAGATTCCTGTCATATTATGCCCGGCGCACTTGGGACTGGGGCTGTTTGGACTCCCAGAAGTAGAATTGTGGACCCTGTCTCTGAAAAGAACATGTCCTGCTCTCGGTGGGAGAGGCTTTCAGGATATAGACGTTGTCATAGTGATGACTGTAATAAGTACATGAAGCCTTCGTAATTTGTCATTTCTCATTGTTCAGTAATCGCTTTGATAGGATTCCCTCATTTGAGCTGTCTGTGCCAGACTGTTGACTGTAACACCTGAGATCAGAAGTCGTGGTAACCCTATTTTATTTTCTTCTTTTTAAAGAATTATTTATTTAGTTTTATTCATTCATTCATTTTATTTTAATTTGACCAGAAAGATCCAGAGAGAGAGAGAGAGAGAGAGAGAGAGGGGAAGTGAGAAAGCAAGCCACCAGGTCCAGGACTTGAACCGTGGTCAGCCATATGGGAGTGTCCAACGCTTTAACCACCACGCCACCTGCTGGTCGCAGTAACCCTATTTTTAATCTGGGTGCTCTGACTTCTCAAACTGAAGCAAGGTAGCCTGTGTGGGCCAGGCCATATGCTTGACAGTCAAGAGACCCTTCTGCCCAAATAGAGTATACCTTTCATGACATTTATAATTTACTTGTCAGATATGTATATATTTTTATATATAATTTCCTCTATTAATAAATGGAAAGATGAGTAGTTTCTTCTGTGGCTTATTTAACCTGTAAAAATTTCTTTTAAAATATTCACACTGGGGACCAGCAGTTAGCGTAATGGCTATGTCGCTGGACTCCCATTTAGTCGACCGTGGTTCAAGTCCTGAACCCAGTGGCTTAAACTCACGCCGGGCGCATGTGCGTGTGTGCCCAAGATCCCGAGAGGAGAATGGAGGAGAAGGGATTGCAGTGTGGCCATCCCCCCTGGGGGGGGTGACTTCTCACTTTCTGTCTTTCTGTCTCTCTCTATCTTTCTGGTGAGCACACACGCCCTATAGCAAAAACTTCTCTCAAAAAAAAAAAAAACAATAAAAATGGTTTAAAATTCACATTGTATTATTAATACAGTCTGAATCTTAGTCCATGTGGAAATATTTTATGAGCCCCCACTTCTGTGCCTTCCGGTGGTGCCCTTTGAAGTCTTGGAATGCATTTTATATTTGATTGAGATCAAATCTGTGTTTCATTTGACTGTTTTCAACATATTGAGCAAGTTTTCTCTCTGAGCTCCTTAGGGGAAGGAGGCCAGTTCTCTGTGTCCCAAGAATTCAGACTGAGCCCTGCCAGAACATTCCTGTGGTTTTCCATGGGGCAGATCAGTGTGTTCATGAAATTTTAGTTGGAGCTTGTGTTCGCTGTGGTTAATGAAAACATCTGGCTTTTAAATTTTCCACACACAGAACATCACCATTTAGCTCAACCTTTTCAATAATGGGGAAATTCTTCAGCCCTCCCCTCGGAGCAGCCCCAACTGGTCTTCAGAGTACCTTGTAAGCTGTTGTCTCTGTTCGTTAATGATTTGCAACACCGGGAAGATGTTTGAGGGGACCCTGCCAAGCATATCCCAGGGACAGAGAGCATGTTTGTGGCTGTGAGACCTTCTGATAGCTTCTGGCCTTCGCCCTGCAGGTTGGAGCCACCCCAGCGAGCCTGTGCGGACTGCAGCCAAGCATGCTGTGGTCGGACCTGCCCAGTTGCTGCACTGAAACGTTTGCTGGATGGAAAATCCATAAAAGAAAGTTCCTGTGAGGAGCCCAGACGGACGAGAGCTTAAGCAGAATCAGGTTGGTACGGCAGACAAGAGCGGCTGCAGTAGATTGGGTCCGTAGTGGAACTCAGCTCTGCTCCTTCCTAAGCAGCATTGAGGCCAATACTTACCCCTAGTGATGGATGGGAGTCCCAGCCTCATGTGCATGGTAGGTCTATTCCAAGCGCCTTCCTGTGTCTGCTGTGTGGTCTTCCTTGTTCTCCCCTTTCTTCTCCTCCTCCTCCCTCAAAGAGAGTAAGATCTTCAATACAAATGTGGAAAAAGCCCTGACCAGAAGTCACCCGGGGTGACCTCCAGGATCGTGGCTTCCTTTTGGGTAGAGAACAGTGTCCAGACTCGTGGAATTGTGTTTGTGTTTTCCAAGTCGTGTGCTCACTTGCATTTTCACATGCTGTGGGGTGAATCGTGGGAACCTGCCTAGCCTAACACGGAGGCTAGGCCCCCTCGGTTTGCTTGGCTAGACTTTAGACTCTTATCTGCCAGAACAAACGCTACCCACAAATTCGTCTTCAGCAGGGTGTGCGTTTGCTGTTAGATGCTCAGATGACAGGGCCGGCAGGTGAGGTGGTGGTTAAAGCACTGGACTCCCACATGACCGGTCACGGTTTGCGCCCAGACCTGGCAGCTTGAAAATCACACTGGATTCGTGTGTGTGCCTAAAATCCTGAAAGGAGAATGGAGGAGAAGGGTTTGTGGTATGGCCATCTTCCCCTGAAGATGATTTCCCACTTCCCCTCTCTCTGTCTCTTTCTGGTGAGCACATGCGCCCAATGGCAAAAAAAAAAAAATAAATAAAAAATAAATAAAATAAAATAAAACAAAACCAGATGCTCAGATAAAGGAACTTGGGAATGCCATTAAAGTATGAGTTTAGGGGCCAGAGGGTGGCACAGCAGCAATGCTATGCTCTGCAAGGCCGACTGTGCAGGAAGGTCAGGGTCGTGCCAGGAGAGCTCCAGGATGGGCCGGACATGGGCGTGCCCACAGCCCGGGGCTGGCTGGGGTGGACCCTGGCATCAGAGCATTAAAGGCAGTGCATTTTCTCTCTCTTTCCCACTCTCTTTTTCTGCATCTCTCTGTCTTATTCATGGAATTAAAAAATATATTATATATATGACTTTGGGGGATAAAAGGTTTTTTTTTGAATCCACTTGTAGTTTTTTCATAATGTACATTTTTCTGTGAACTTTTTTGAAGACCCTTCCTATAGGACAGAATTGCCCTGAAAAAAAAAAAAAAAGAACATCTGTTTAAATAAATACAAAACAGCCTGTGGATCAGGAGGTGAAATGGCATAAATGACCACCTCACCCAGTGAGGTGGGAAAGAATTCATTCTGCGTACCAGGCAGCGGTGATTTCTGCTGGGTATTCGGTGGTCACTCGGCAGTTCGTGGGTACTCAGTGGGAGGGGGCAAAGCACCCTCTCTGAGACTCTGTGAAGTCGCACATGACTGTCGACTTTGGCACTCAGCATCCCTCTCCTCCTCCTCTAATGACTCACCCAGCTGCTCTCTGGACAGTTACCCTTGCCTCAATTTCAGCCTATGCAGACAGAGGACGTAACCCCCTCCCTGTCTTGGTCGCAGGCTCATTTCATAAGTTTGGCCAGTTCATGTCACCGTGATCAGTTTATGGAGGGACCCCAGGACCCCAGTTGAAATTGAAAAGAGATTTTCTTTTATGTGAGTCTGTTAAGTCTGTGTGTGCATGCCACACTCACAGAATGTGACCCCCAGTTCAGCAGTGTCTAAAACCAACATATTTGGTTTCACTTTAATGACTGGTTAGAGAGTGAGCCTGTGTTATGTCTGGCAGTGTCTTCTAGGTGTGAGCTCTCCGTGTAAAATGAGTGTGGCACAGTCTCTGTCTTCAGGGCTCGTGGAGCAGGGAACAGCTCAGAGAGGGAGCTGACATGCAGTGTGAACAAGTCTCAGGAGGTCAGAACAAAGGACTATGGGAGCAGAGGCAGAAATCATAGTTCTGGCTGGTGGAGCGACTAGCTGAGAGGGCTATTACTTAACAAGGGAGAAACGAGATGTAGTCTTCAGGAACCTTTTAAACAACACTCTTAACTCAATTACTTGCTTTCAAAGTGCGAAAGAAAGGAAGGCTTTCTAGAGCCTATAGTTAAAGCAAATTGCAGATAGGAAGATAATTTCAGAGTGTTGCTACTAGAAGAATCTTGTTATTTACTGTAAATACAGTCGTTGCAAGAACAGCCAAAAGAGAGGTTATCAGAAAGTTCTTTAGAGTTTATTTTAATACTGCTAGGTGACAGCTGCTGCTCTCACCAGAACTTCAGCTGGCTTCCTGTACTAAGCAGACTTGTAAGTGTATCAGTGCATTTTAAAGATTTATTTACCTTCTTAATGTCAGACTTTATTATTTTATTTTTTATAATTAATGTTAACATTCATAGCTATTATTTAGGGGGATGTTTAGGTTATAGAAAAACTGAGGAGAAAGCTTTTCTATATAGTTTTCACATAATCCCCATTGCCAATTTCTGCTATTATTAATATCTTGCATTACTGTGGTACATGTGTAATAATTGACACCTCAGTATTTACATGCTGTAATTAATGAAGGTCTATAATTCACAGCAGGTTTACTCTTTTTGTCATGTATTCTAGGGACTTTGATGGCTTTATAGTAGTATGTACTCACTATTGCAACAGTGTACAAAATGTTTCACTGCTCTAAAAATCTGTGTTCTGTCTTTCTCTCTCCTTCCTCCCCTGAATCCTGGCAGCTACTGATCTTTCTAACATCTCGGTGGTTTTATGTTCCAGAATGTTGGAATCACGTAGCTTGTACCTTTTCAGATCGGCTTCTTTTGTTTAACAATTATCAACAACAAAAGTTGATCATTAGGAAATTTATCTCCTCCTAGTTGAACTAATTCCATCAATGAACTTCTTAGCTATGACTATGTCTTTGAGGCAATGCCTATTTAAATTTCTTACCCGTTTTTATATTGGGTTATTTGTCTTTCTGTTTATATAGTCTGGATATGTCCTTTATTTGATATGATTTGTACATATTTTCTCCCAATTTCTAGTTTGTCTTTTCACTTTCTTAATGGTGTGTTTTCCCCCATGAAGAAATAATTTAAATTTTAATTAATAAGATTTAAGATTCTTCTCTGTCTTTTTTTGGCTTGATAGCTCATTTCTTTTTAGCACTGAATAATATTCTGTGGTGTGGTTATTATATAGTTTATAAATTCATCTATAAAAGGGCATTTTTGTTTGCTTCCGTGTTTTGGCAGTTGTGGATAAAGCTGCTGAAAACATCTGTGTGCAGTATTTTGTGTGGATGTAAATTTTTAACTTACATGGGTTTCTCATTGTTCAGTGGTGTCTTAGCTATAGGATTTTTGTATCATGAAAGGGTGCCAAAATGGTCCTTTTTTTTTTTTTTTTTTGCAACTGTAGATATGATCATATAATTTTTCTTTGACTTGCTCATAAGACTGACTATGTTAATTGATTTTTGAATGTTGAGCCAACCTTTCGATAGGGACAGCATTGAAAGATCAGTGTGAAGAGTTCTGATCCATGAACATGGGATACATAGCTTTAGGTCTTTAAAAATTTCCTTCAACAGTGAGTGTGTTGTTTTCAGGGTGTAAGTCAGACTTTTATGTTAAATTCATGTGTACTTTTTTGATACCTTTATAAATGGAATTGCTTTTTAAATTTCATTTTCCGACTATTCATTGCTAGTATGTAGAGGTATGATTGATTTTTGTACTTGTCAGTACCAATATTTATTGAATGTTTGACTTTGTTAGCATTTTCTGTTTACCAGATTTTGTCATTGGCAAATAGTTTTATTTTTTGTCCAATCTAAAGGTTATATTTTTCTGCAATGACTTGAAAATTTGACTATGATATGAAAAATACAAAATTACGTGCTTTGGGTTTTCTAATGAAATCAGTCTGTTATGTAGCTTTTAAAATTTGCTAGAGGGCTCATGAGCTCGCTGGAGAGAGACAGAGACTAAAAGAGAGAAAGAGAGAGAGAGAGAGAGAGAGAGAGAGAGAAAGTACTCCCTTTGGGGGATAGTCATGCTGCAATCCCTTCTCCATTTCTCCCTCATTTTAGAATTTTGGGCATGCACGCACATGTGCCTGGCGTGTTTTTCAAGCCGTGAAAGCACATGAACTGTGCTATTGACCATGTGGGACCCAGTCTCCTTAACAACCATGCCACCACTGGCCCTGTTATGTAGCTTTTTGATAAGAACAGAAGTTGATACTTAGGAAATTTATCTCCTCATAGTCAAACTAATTCAATCAATGAACTTAGCTATTACTATGTCTTTGAGGCAATGCCTATTGAAATCTCTTACCCTTTTTATATTGGGTTATTCATTATTTGGTTATTTGGTTATTTTCTACTTATATAGTCTAGATATAAGTCCTTTATTTGATATGATTTGTACATATTTTCTCCCAATTTCTAGTTTGTCTTTTTACTTTCTTAATGGTGTGTTTTCCCCCATGATGAAATAATTTAAATTTTAATTAATAGTAAGTTGCATCAATATTGGAAACTCTGTGTGTGTGTGTGTGTGTGTGTGTGTGTGTGTAAACTTCCTGCCAGTGCCCTTTAAAACTCAAAAGTTTTATTTTCTTTTTTTTGAGAGGTTTTCGCTATAGGGCGTGTGTGCTCGCCAGACAGACAGAGAGAGACATAGAGATAGAAAGCGAGAAATCACCCCCCAGGGGGAGATGGTCACGCCGCAATCCCTTCTCCTCCATTCTCCTCTCGGGATCTTGGGCACGCACGCACACGTGCCTGGCGTGAGTTTTAAGCCACCGGGTCCGGGACGCAAACCGCGGTCGACTACATGGGAGTCCAGCGACATAGCCATTACGCTAACTGCTGGTTCCCTTAAAACTCAAAAGTTTTTGACTGGGAGGCCGGCCGGTGTTGCAGCAGTAACGCAGAGCTGCCATCAACATGAGGAGGTCCCGAGGCCTCTCCGTGCACTTCAGGAAGGTGT